TCACACCACAATCCCTTCTCCTCCATTTCTTCATCCTCTCGGGGATTTGGGGTATGCACATAACCCTGGCTTGTTGGGGTGGGCCCAGGATTCAAACCATGGTTGGCCATGTGGGAACCAGCTCCCTCAACTACCTGGTTATTCTCCTGCCCCCCCCCGACCCTCCATAATGGTTTTTGTTTGTTTGTTTTTTTTTTTTTTTTTTTTGGAGAGGTTTTCGCTATAGGGCACGTGTGCTCGCCAGACAGACAGAGACATAGAGACAGAAAGCAAGAAATCACCCCCCAGGGGGGATGGTCACGCCGCAGTCCCTTCTACTCCATTCTCCTCTCGGGAGCCTAGGCACGCATGCACACGTGCCCGGCGTGAATTTTAAACCACCGGGTCCGGGACGCGAACCGCGGTCAACTACGTGGGAGTCCAGCGACATAGCCATTACGCTAACTGCTGGTTCCCTCCATAGTGGTTTTTAAATGCCAGGTAGTCATCTGGGAAATACTCAGACATAATGTCATAAGAGAAGAAATAGCCTATACAGTTCTCTGTGCAAACATAGCCACAATCATGTGAAGACCCAAGGACAAATGATAGAATGATTTTGTTCATGTTAGAAATAATTGTTCCTGGGACCAGCAGTGAGTGTAGTGGCTATGTCACTGAACTCCCATGTAGTCAACTACAGTTCGAATCCCGGCCCCAGTGGCTTAAACTCACGCTGGGTGCGTGTGCATGCATGCCCAAGATCCCGAGAGGAGAATGGAGGAGAAGGGATTGCGGCGTGGCCATCCCCCCCAGGGGGGGTGATTTCTCACTTTCTGTCTCTCTCTCTCTTTCTGGCGAGCACACGCACCCTATAGCAAAAACCTCTCCCCCATCCCCCCACCCCCCAAAAAGAAAGAATTGTTCCTTATTTGTCTGGGCTGTGGTAATTGCTTTGTAACTAAAATCAGGATGTAGTCCAAGGCTTTACTCCTACCACAGCTGAGATTTTCCACTGTTTGAAAGGTTAGTACAGGCTATTTCTTTGCAAATAGGTGGAAAGAGCAAGAGTTGCTATGTGACACAAGTTTGATTCTAGAGAAAAGCCCTGTTTAGGATCAGGAGATAAGGAACTCAGCTTTGGAGTTTATTTCTGCTTTTCCAGAAAGTGAAGTCTCAGGCTTTGTCCTTAGGCCACTCGTACAGTCTCTTGAATGTTTTTCTTTTTCCAAATCAGTTCTCTCATCATTTGTTCCAAGAGCATGCAGGGAGCCAGATGGGAGCACAGTGATAAAATGTAGTGCTCCGTGAGGCTGACCCACATGGGAAGGTTGGCATCCAGGCCTACGTGTGCCAGGGACACACCTGCCCATGATCTGGGGCTGGCTGAGGCTGGGAGTGGATCATGGCACCCCTGTTGGGGTTGCTGTGTCTCTCACTCATGGAAGAAATAAATAAACATAAAAAAAGAGCATACATGTCACATGTCATTGCAAATCTGGAATGTACAGCTTGATAAATGTTAACTAGGTAAATACAGGCATACTTCGGAGATACCACAGATTCTGTTCAGATTACCACCATAAAGCGAATATCACAATAAAATGAGTTACTTGAGTTTTTTTATTTCCCAGCATATATAAAAGTTATGTGTACATCATACTGTCATCTATTAAATGTGCAATAGCATTATGTCTAAAAACACAATGTGTGGCCGACCCTGTGGCCTAGTAGTTAAAAAAGTCAGATCCTACATGGCCAACCATGGGATCTTGGCCCCAGTAGCTTGAAAAACAGGCTGGTCACATGTGTGCATGCCCTGAATCCCAGTAGACTGGAGATAGAAGAGATTGCAGCATGACCATGGCCCGTTGGGGGTGCTTTCTCTCTTTCTCTGTCTTCCCCCGCCCCACCCCTCATAAGTACATGTGCCCTCTGGAAATTAGAAAATAAATAAATAAATAGCAATGTACATACTTTCATTTAAAAATAGTTTATTGTTAAAAAATGTTAACACCTTCTGTAGAGCTGAGGCATCTTTGTCATCTTCTACTGAAAAACAGGGAAATGATCTGCCTTTAAAAACACTGTTGCCAGTTGTCCCCTACTCCTGGTGCTCACCCTGAAAGGCAGCTACCCTTCTTACTGCTCTGCCTCCGTTGGGCACATATAAAGACGCTTGCTTTGTGGGCCTGGTGCATGCACACGAAGAGCTATTGGTGCCACTTAACATCTCCCAGCACCCTTCCCAGCCCTGGTGAATGGGTACATCTGCCCCCAGCCCTGGTCCATCTGTGGGACGGTGTGGAGCCATGTCTGGATACCCACAGTAGTCCCCAGTGCATTCCCTCCCCTTGAGCTCTATGTGGAGCAGCTGCTTGAAAAAGTGCTTCTCCTGGCTCCGGTTAGCAACCACTTGTTGGGTGGAGTGGAAAAGCCTAACATAATAATTCCAGTAAGTTTGTTTCCAGTATTTAGCTCTGTAAGTGCTAATTATGTGGGGCATCGTGTTACCTCGTAGTCTCCCAAATAATATGCGTGAGGTGTGCCCCACTAGAGAAATCCTAGCACACTGTGCTCCCCACTCAGATCATTTTAACAGCCACTTGTTAAGTATCAGTCCAACCCATCAGTGTCACTTAGGAGAACAAAGAAGGCCTTTGTTTAGCTTCAACGTCTAGACCAGGAATGTGTTTAGAACTTATGATCCTGCTAAAAGTTAAATCAAATGAGAGCCTGCTATGGTCTGAATGTTTGTGCCCTCTGCCACCGAGTTCACATGTAGAAATTCTAACCCCTAAGGTGATGTTATTAGGAGATAAGACCCTTGGTAGGTGATCAAGTCATGGGCGTGGAGCCCTCATGAATGGAATTAGTGTCCTTTGAAGAAGACCCCAGAGAGCTTCCTCACCTCTTCCACCATGGAGGATGCAGCAGTAATTCACCCTCTGTGAATCAGAAGGCCCTCGTCAGGCACTGAGTCTGCCTTGATCTTGGAATTCCCAGCTTCTAGAACTATAGAAAACCAAATGTATTGGGGCTGGCAAGTGGTGTGGTGGGTAAGGGCACTGGACTTCCACATGGCCTACCACAGTTCAAGTCCAGGACCTGGCAGCTTGCTTTCTTATTTTCTCTCTCTTTCTCTGTCCCTCTCTGGTCAAATTTAAATAAATAAATAAATAAATAAATAAATAAATAAATAAATAAAATAATTATTTAAACAAAACAAATAGGGGCTAGCAGGTGGCACAGTGGTTAAGGGCACTGAACTCCTACATGGCTGACCGCAGACATGGCAGCTTGCTTTCTCTCTCTCTCACTTGCTCTGTCCCTCTCTGGTCAAATTAAATAAATAAAGTTAAATAAAATAATTCTTTTTAAAAATCAAATAAAAAAATGTGTAGTTTGTAAGCTATGCAGTTTATTCTGTTGTGTTCTAGTAGCCCAGATTGACTAAAACAGAGCACGTTACCTTGGTGAAAAAAAACTGTCAAAATATGGGGCCATCAGGCAGCATGGTGGTTAAGATGCTGGGTCCCACATAGCTGACTCCACAGTTTGAGTCCTGGACCTGGAGCCAGACAAGTGTGTGTGCATGCGAGAAGAGTGGAGGAGAAAGGATTATGACATGGCTCTTCCATCCTGGGGATGATTTCTTGCTTTCCTTCTCTATTTATCTCTCTGGTGAGTGAGTGCACATGCACAGTAGCAAAAACCTTTAAAAAAAAAAGGGGGGGGGAACATAAACCAAAAAAAAAACTTCCCAACAGCTAGCCATTATTCTCACTCAGACTGAACCTCTTTGTCCTTGCTGTCGGTCTGCTTAAAATGCATGATTGGATCTCTCCTGGCCTCCCTATTTAAAATCCCAAATGCCCCATCCTCCTGCACTCTTCCTGGCCCTCCTTCTCTGCTGTATTTTCTTCCAAAGCATGGATGCCCTCAGGAATAGAGGCTCCGTGGGAAGTGGAGACCCATTATTCTCACTCAGACTGAACCTCTTTGTCCTTGCTGTCGGTCTGCTTAAAATGCATGATTGGATCTCTCCTGGCCTCCCTATTTAAAATCCCAAATGCCCCATCCTCCTGCACTCTTCCTGGCCCTCCTTCTCTGCTGTATTTTCTTCCAAAGCATGGATGCCCTCAGGAATAGAGGCTCCGTGGGAAGTGGAGACTGTATTTTGTTCACAGTTCTCCTCCGAGCCCTGACTCAGAGTAAGTACTCACTCCATAATTACCAAGTGCGTGGATGACTGTGTCTGCAGACGCGAGCATCCCGAAGGCCGAGAGGGGATGACAGCGCCCCACAGCACACAGCCAGTCAGTGAGCAAGTACACAGGAGCACCCCATCTCCACTGTGTCCCTCTCAGTTTGCTGGCTCGGGTCTTCCTGTGCAGAGCTCCTCAGTACAAAGCTCTCGGTTCTTGCTTTGGATCCTCTCCTTCTTTGGTGCCCTCCAGAAAGGCAGAGCTATCCTGCAGGGAGGAGGTCACCAAATGTGTGTACTGACTGTCGTCTGTTTTGGGGTGGCCTGAGAGTGAGTGAAGGTGAGCAAGAAGTGTTCCTCCACCTGTTATTGTTAACTCAGTCAGAGACTGGCTTCGCAGTGGGGCTCATCTGGAAGATGGCAGTGTTACGGCCCTACCGTCTCTCTTGATCCTGCTTAATTCTGCTTTTAGTTTTTACCACATATTTAGATCATGTCTTTATTCCGACCTCGCAGCGATCTGCTTTTCCCCTCTCCTTCCTTTGGCCTGTTTAGGAATTTAATTCAGGTCTGGGAGAGTGTTTACTTTCAAAAGAACTATTTTAGGAAGTAAAGATCCCAATGAAGTTCTTGTTGAGGTCGTTTAGTTTCCTCTCCCATGCCATTTTTTCACCTGATGGGCTTTTCGTACTGAGGTGGACCCATGTTCCCTGCTCTCCCTCAGATCATCAGAGGTGACATCATAGGAACAGAGGGGGTCCTAACAAGAAAGTTCTCGACCTTTTTTACTAGTTTGTCCTCTTTTTCTTTCCAGGTGGTGTCAACACTGCTCATAAACATAATCCCAGAGGACCACATCCCACTGAACTTAACTGGAAAGGCGAAAATCAGCGGGAAAGCCTGGGTGAAGGATGCTCCTCGGCCCGTCCCCGGCTTTGACCCCAACTCCATGTGCGAGTCTCAGGTACACCCAGGTTGGAGACTTCTAGTCTTGTGTTCAGGTAGATCCATTTAAAGCAAGGAGAGGCACACCCACAGCAGCAGGTGCCGGGCCTCAGAAGAGGAGGACGGTGCCCAGGTTGGTGTTAGCTTTTGTTTTAGATGCAGCAGGGACCAGTCTCTAGCATTTGACACTCAGTGAACTCACAGCCAGCTTGGGAAAGCTTCTCCAACAAGTGACTGGCATTCATCCTGCAGGGCCTGGACGGGCAGGGCCCTTGTTTCCCTTTAAGACTTCCCAGTAGCTTGAGCTAACTGAACTGCTAGGAAGAGTCTACATCCCCAGCTCCAAGCCACAGGAATCCGGCCCCAGAAAGGCAGGCCCAGAGCCGTCAAGTCCCATGCTGTGCTGCTGCCAGAGAGCCATCCACACTGAGGGTTCCCAAGGCCTCTGTGTGCTCTCAGAGGGGGAGCCTCCCCAAGTCCCCAGCTCACAACATGCTGGTGACGGTCTTACTGGACTTTCTATTGAGAAGCTGCTGCTTTTCTTTCCCTTTATAGAGTATCTGCTTAATGCATGCTGCACTGTGCAGCTTGTAATCTTTTTCTTTTAACTAACTTCTAATGCTTTAGCTTAATGTTGTGAACATACAAAGTTAGCCCTTGGAGAATGTTAGGAAGGTTCCATTGCTCTTACTCCCAGTGCGTGAGCAGGGAGGACTAGGCTGGGAACAGAGATCAGGGCCACAGCGTTGAAGCCCTAGGTGCTCTCGTTTCTGGTCACAAGGTCTTTGTCAAGGGTTCTTAGTCTCGTCAGTATGGGCAACTGGTGGGCAGAGCAGGGAGGTGCGTGAGCACACCAGAGCATGTGCTCGTGTGTATATACACGTTGCCAGTTTCACGATACCCCACTCTGAAATTTCCATGAAGGATTGAGGCAGACCACAGTGCAGGTACAAACAGGATGGGGTTCATGCCCACGACGTAGAACAGGCAGGGTGGCTCCCATAGGACACACCGCTGCAGCCGGGCTTTGGTGCCTTTCTCCGCACAGGTGGTCATCCGGAAAGGGGAGCTGCTCTGCGGGGTGCTGGACAAGGCGCACTACGGGAGCTCCGCCTACGGCCTGGTCCACTGCTGCTATGAGATCTACGGCGGCGAGACCAGCGGCAAGGTTCTCACCTGCCTGGCCCGCCTCTTCACCGCCTACCTGCAGCTCTACAGAGGCTTCACTTTGGGTGAGCGCTGGGTTCACGGCCCCAGGGCTCACCTGGAGCAGTGGCCTGGAGCCCTCTCTTGTGACCAGCATGGCCACCAGGCTGTCATTCTAGCTCTCTTGTCCTCTGAGGGAGCGGTCAGGCTCCCTCGACACGGGCATTCCCTCTATGCTGCTGGTCTCCTCCCCCTCGGTGCTCTCCATCCTCCCCCACCACAGCAGGGGGTGCAGAGTGACCCTCCGCTCCCCATCTCCATCTTCCCCTTTCTCGGCCCGCACGTTCTGGTTTTCTGTCCCTCACGTTGATTTCTTATACTCACGCACAGCCCCCATTGCCTCCAGCACGTGTCCTTCCAACTTCCTGGTCCTTCCCTGCACCCCTAAGGGCTTTCCTGTTAGAACTGCTTTGTGCCCTCCAGTACAGTGGGGGCACCACCATGGGGCAGGCCCATGGGGTGGTCCTAAGACAGAAGGAGGAGCTACGTAGTTTACTGTTTTAGGAGATCGGCTCTGGTAAAGAGCACAGGCTGCTGTTTTCCTGTGCACTAGGTGAGACTGCCATCACCAGACCTGCCCGAGGACTTGGCCTCTGGCTGAGTTCGTTCAGGGCAGCGTGCCTCTGCATGTGGAGCGGAGTCCGAGCCCTTGTGCAGTGTTCCTGTGACTGCAGTGTTCCTGCGAGGGTGACCTGAGATGCTGTAAGCCTGGCATGTGCCACAGCGTGGAGGAGGAATCCCCCCCCCCCGTCAGTGATCCCTTTAATAGTGGAAAAAGGACTCCGTGCTTCAGGGACTTGCTCATGTACACTCAGGGTGGGAGTCCCACTGTGAGGCCTCTGAGCATGCCACAGTTAGAGTGTGCTCCGGGGCCTGCAGTGGGACCTGCATTCTACATTCTGTTTTTTGTTTTGTTTTGTTTTTAATAATATTGGGTCTTTGGAAAAGTTGTAGCACATTTTTGCATAGAAAAACATAGAAAGATAGCTCATGACTTTTCCGACAACCCAATATATTTACATGTAGAAAAGTCAAAACATAAGTATGAAAGAATTTAAAATCACTTAGCAGCAATTGCCGAAGACAACCACTAATACTGGTTTGATGTGCATCTTTCTAGATTTTTCCAACACAAATACCTTCAGAAAAAATGAGATCCTACACTCCATACTGTTTTGTAACCCACTGTCCTTTGGGGTTTAGCCTCTGTCCTCATGTCTAGTGGCTACAGCCTCTTCCAGTTGCTATAGTTAATCATTTAGGCTATTTCCAGGTTTTTACAGTATTGCCAGGGCAAGTATCTTGGCAGTCATGTTCAATTGCTGTGCCCAGATCTGTCTGGGAGCAAGGACCTGCCTTCCCTACCCTGGTTTCCCTGACCCCTTATGGGGGCATCCGTGTCCAGGGTCAGCCTCTTTCGGTGGGAACCAGACTAGAATCCTTTGCACTGTAACTGAAGAAGGTGATGTGTGATGACTAAGAACCTCATACTTGTAAAAAGTGCATCAATTTCAGAACTAGAATAAGTACAGGCTACTGACTAGAAAAAGTCCAGAGAGCTTTAAAAACAGAAAGTAAAGGAAGACCCCACACCCAGCTCTTGATAAGGACCAAGCGTACCAAACAAGCCGTGCTTGCTCTGCCTTTGGTACAGAGACAGGTTAGCCCCTGAACGCAAAGACGATCCAGAGAGGACGCAAGGCCAGGCTGGTGGAGGGATCTGAGGGGAGGTCAGGCTTCACTGTCACCTTTCCCAGGGCTGGCAGGTCAGTGAGGCAATAGCAGTGACTCTGCGGAAGGGCCTGCTTTAGTGCTTGTGTCTTCCTCGCAGAGGGAGTATTTCTTTCCCTTTCTGCTCACGCGTGTTCAGAAGCCCTCAGGTTTCCAGGACATGGATTGCATTGGGAATTCTAGGTGCTTTAGCCCCAGCCTTTAAACAGCACAGTTAGTTCTTTTCCTTCCTGCTCAGATCTGATTGAGGGACTTTCGAGTCCAATAGTACTTACAGATAAAAGCAGTCATGGAGAGATAGACTGATCCCAAGGTGAGGAATTCTGCAATCCCATGAGCCAAGGGGGTGGACTAAGTGGAAGTGACCCAGGCTTTCATCCTCCGGAGGTATGTAAGGGCCTGCAGTGATGGCTCCTCTCACCCAGGTTCAAGGGGGCCTGTGTACCTGCACACCCATGCTCACACGTGTACAGGGTGGCCCTGGTATATGTGGCTCCTGGGAGCCTCCTCTTCTTTCACTAAATTCAACGTAAACTTCCTCACCTCCAGCCCATTCATCCTCACCTCTAGCACGTGTTTACTGAATGGAGGAAGGATAGCTGATGACAGGGCAAAGGTTTGGGGCTCAGGCCTGTTTTCCTTTTCTACCTGCGTAAACTTGGGCAAGTAACTCTTTTTTTTTTTTTTTAACTGCCAAAGGGCTGAGAGAAAGAGAAAGCACCCACCAGGGGGGTGTGGTCACGTTGCATTGCCTTTTTCTCTATTTCACCTTCCCATCAGGATTTTGAGTGGGCACACATACACATGTGTCAGGCATGTTTTTCAAGCCACTGGGTCTGGGACTTGAACTTGGATTGGCTCTGTGGGTTTCCAATCCTTATGCATAGCCCCTAACCATTCTGCTGAGGGGACCGGCTCTTTTATTCTTTTCTTCTTTTTTTTTAATTCGTGATAGAGCATATGTGCACGAGAGAGAGATGCACCTTACACAGGGCTCAGTCGCTCTGTGATCCCCTTTCGTCAGCCTGCCTGGATCCTGGCGCACATGTACACCTGACTTGTATTCACTTCCACCGGGCTGGTGACTTGAACCCTGGTCAACACATGGTTTTCAGATCTGCAGTCTACTACACCACCAACTAGGTCACAGGGCTAGCCAAGGAGCTCGGTTCAAGCCTTACTTTTGTCATTTGTAAGGCAGAGGTTAAGATGGTTAGAGCTCTGGTAAACACTCAGGAGATTGTAGCAATCTTCCCTAGTGATGCTGTCATCCTCCTCGTCGTCGTCGTCCTCGTCGTCCGGCGCCCTCTGTCTCTGAGGAGCCATGCTCTATGCCTTGACATCACCAAGTTCACAGGCCCATGAGAGTCAGGCTCCACCCTGTCTGTTTCACCTCACAGGCGTGGAAGACATTTTGGTTAAGTCAAAGGCAGATGTCAGGAGACACAGGATCATCGAAGAATCCACCCTCTGTGGGCCCCGGGTAAGGAGGGGCTGAGGGAGATGGGCTGCTGCCAGGTGGTCGGGTGGCCTACAGGGTGTGACCTATGCCCTGTTTCGGCTGCAACCTCCGACCTGTTTCTTCTCTCATTCTAGGCCGTCAGGGCTGCCTTAAACCTGCCAGAAGCCGCATCATGTGATGAGGTCCGAGGGAAATGGCAGGATGCCCATCTGGGCAAAGACCAAAGGGATTTTAACATGATTGATCTGAAGTTCAAGGAGGAAGTGAACCATTATAGCAATGAGATTAATAAGGTTAGCTCGGCAGTGCATGCACTTACCGCCACCATTTTGGATGCTGATTTCTTTCTTTTTTCTTTTTTTTTAATTACATTTTGACTCTCGCTCAGGGCCCTTTGGAGCAGTTTGGCTGTTTAACAGCTGACTTGGTGAAATGCGAGGTGGGGTGGGTAGAATCTTGTCTAGAAGAGCCCAGGGCTTGATTCTCTCCCTCGTTTCTGGTCGGGAAAGGCCGTGGATTAGTGCTAAGAGGAAACGCTGTGTGCTGTTTTTTGTGCTGGCTTTTTTTTTTTTTTTGGTTTGGTTTTTAAAAATGTTTTTATTTTGACTGCATTCAAGGGCTGAAGAATGAAATTTTTCAGTCAGGCCACTGCAGGTGGAAGAGCAGGATGAAGGGCCAAAAACACCTCTGCTGCTTATGCGGCAGAGCTGGGCTGAAAGGCCTGGGTTCAGATTGGCTCTGCCTCCTACTTGCTGTGTGACCTTGAGCAGTCTGTGGCTTGGTTTCCTCGCCTGGCAGTAGGGGTGGGAGGAACACCACCTCGCAGTGTGCTGAGGGGTTAAAGCACTGGTATGCGCAATGCCGAGTCTGTTTATGCGGCAATGGAGAAAGGAGAGAAGTCTCTGCAGGAGCCGAGACAGGCATCTCATTCCCCAGCTTCCCTGTCTTGCCACCTCTGCTAGGTTGGGCCGAGTCTCTAGAACCCCAGGCTCAGGCTTACACGGACTCAGAGCTCCCCTCTGCCCAACTCCCAGGCTCCCGTAGGAGGCTTTGCTTGTTCTGCTGGCCCAGGAGCTGCAATGAAGCTCCCTACGAGGTCTTGACTGGCACGCTGGTCACGGCTGGACACAGACATTGGCATTCTGCCTGTGCTCAGTGAACGCTCAGAGGCATCGCCTAAAATCGTGTTCTTACACAGCACCCCTTTAGCATTACAGACTCCGCCTCTCCTCTCCTGCAGCTGTTTGGCCAGTGAATAGAATCACGGGTTCTTGGCAGAGGGTATAGAAAGAGTGCAGCACATAGCGAGGGGTGGGGGCACCAGTTTGACTTCTCTCCAGGAGTCCGAGTGAGAGGTTGGAGGCTGAGCGAGGCTTCCCCTTCCCTAAAGTGGAAACCAGCATCTACCTCTGGATAAACGCTCTGACTTCGTTGCTCCTGCATCTTGGATCTGCCTTCTTAACCTGGCGCTTGGAAAGGGGGTGACATCGCTAACCAGTATGTTGGTCTCATCCGCAGGCATGCATGCCCTTTGGCCTGCACAGACAGTTCCCAGAGAACAACCTGCAGATGATGGTGCAGTCGGGAGCCAAAGGTTCCACCGTGAACACGATGCAGGTGTGAGCACGGGTGGTGGCAGCTTTGCCAGGGGGGTGGAGGGTGGCTGGAGGTGGTTTGCAGGTGTGTTTCTGATTTCCAAAAACTGTGTTCATGCTGAAAAATACAGAAGCATATAGAAATCACCTCGGGAGCTACTCACTGCTGACACGTGGCCATTCGGGATAATGCAGATCTAAATGCACAGATATTACACGTGTAATGCAGCTCTGTGTTGTCAGGTCCTACATCGTCGTGTGGCATGTGTCATACACTGTGCACATGTGTCTGGTCGTCGTTGAGATCCTGCAGTTTTGCACGGGCTGCCTTTTCACTTCCTATTGCACTGTCCGTGTGTCCCAGAGGTTTTGGAACCTTTAGAGACTCGTCATCTCTTCAGATTACCACAGTGCTAGCGTGGCCTTGTCACAGATCTTAGTGCTTTTTCGTTAATGACCTTGAGAGGGTCTTAAGGACCCCTCCCTCGTTGTTCAGAGAGCCTATAGCAGTGGGTTTGAAAGGCAGAAGGCCACGAGGAAGCCCCCTAAGTGAAATCTCACCTAGGTAGCTTTCCATGCACCCTGAGGCCCCTTCCAGGTATGAAGGTGTGACTCTGGCACATGGCTTCTTTTACAAACACCACCTATTGTCACCTGACCCCAAATGCAAAAAACCAGAGTAGTCAGCAAGAGAAAGATGGAGTGTCTTTATTTTGTTTTGTTTTTTTGAAACTGCAAGTTGCCCTGGTTTGTTTAAAGATCTGAATTGGCCTTCAAGTTCTCAATTTCCATGCAGCTTTTCTGGAACAGCAGACTGTCCTGTCCCTGCTGGGACCTGGTGTTCACCTCACGTGTGGCCCTTAAGTTGCCTTTGGGTTTTCTTCCGCCAGATCTCATGCCTGCTTGGCCAGATTGAACTGGAAGGTCGGAGACCCCCGCTCATGGCATCTGGCAAGTCACTGCCCTGCTTCGAACCCTATGAATTCACCCCTAGGGCTGGCGGCTTTGTCACTGGCAGATTCCTCACCGGCATCAACCCTCCTGTATGTATTTTGTTTTCTCCGTGTGGCCTGCCTTCTTCATGCCTTGGCTCAGTCCCTCCCGGTCACCAAATAAACACGGTCAAGGGGTCCATGCCAAGCCACTTGCTGCTTACCCACCAGACCCTAGGACCTGGGAGGGCACCACCATGTTGTGTTCAGTGCAGGCACTTGGTAGGTGCTCAGTAAACGTTTGCTACTAGATGGCAGAATGAATGGGACTGGTCCCAGCTCTGCATTTTCCTGCTGTGTGACCTCTCTAAACTAGTTCTTACCTACACGCAAAAGAAGCTGGAAAAGGGGGTGCAACTCACCAGGGTGGTCTCCACTGCCGGGTTGTGAGGGAGGACCACAGAGATTTATTTCAGAAAATGCCCTTCACCCCAGGTACTTTCTCCTTCACAAGGGAAAAACTGATGAGCTGTAGCAAATGGCTAGTTTTACTTCATCGGCAATCGAATTCTTCCCTAAGAAAATGTGTGTCCTCATATGGTCAGAAGTGGCCTTTCGAACGTTAGTACCTCTTGTTCCTTGGTGAAGTGCAGCTCTGGAAGGATGGCCCTTGGGGTCAGAGAGTGAATGGGACCAGTGCTCTGTTCCAGGGCCACTGACTACTCAAGAGCTCTTCCATGGGCCCCACATGACTCTCCTGGGTCATCCACAGCCCCAGCAAGGAGGGCGGGGGTGGATGTAGACTGGGATTGTTCTCATTTTTCTTGTAGCACCTTAATGGGTCATGATTCATCACAGTGCATAGTGACCAGCATTTCTTTATGTGATGAAACAGAATAAAGTGGTTAAGAAGAAAAAAAGATGAGAATTTAACCCCCATAGGAAAGGGCGGGGTGGGCAGTGTCACGAAGTTTGTTACATATCCTCACGACCATGTGTTTATATACATGTGTCTGTCTGGTGATCACTGTCCTAACCTAACTGTGGGTTACCTCAAAAAGCTTGGGAAACATTACACTGACACTACTGGAAGCAGAATTCAAGAAAGGGGGCTGAAGGGGCAGTGGTGGGACAGAACATGCCGTTTCTGTTCAGAGAAGGGACGTGGGGTGTGATCCTGAGGGTGGCATGAATACAGGGGAAGCACCCAGCTCGCAGGAGCCATAACTTTCTGAACCACTTGTCTCTGCTCACCTGACCCCCAGGCAGGGTAAGACAGAGAACCGCAGGGCGGGTGGAAGTTACAGGGGCGTTTGAAGCTGTCAAAGCAAAGGTCCAAGGAGATCAGGAGAGGAGTGACCAGGGGCTGGCCAGGAAAGGCTGCCGGAAGGTTGCCTTGAGTCTCCCTTTGGGAAGCACGCTATCCTCACTGCCACCGTTGGTCTTCTGTCCCACAGGAGTTCTTCTTTCACTGCATGGCAGGGCGAGAGGGCCTGGTCGACACCGCTGTGAAAACTAGCCGCTCCGGCTACCTCCAAAGGTAAAAAGTACCTGCACTCTCCCCTTTTTGGTGGGGCCAGTGTCCCAGTAATTTCCACATTTCATCAACAATTCACTTAGGATTCCTTGGGTGAGAAACCTTTACAGAAATGTCTGTGTGGGGCCTGAGACAGGAAATCACACGCTCTCCTGCTAAGGATGGTAGAGTTGAGCACAAGGTCATACCAAGGACCCTGCATTCTTAGGGTTGGCTGTTCCCTGGGGGGGTGCTCTGGTTGCAGGGCGGGGTCTCAGTCACTAATGAGTTCCCTGGAGCCCTGCTCCCTGGAGGCTTGGTGGTCAGGATAGTGCAGGGATTCTAGGCCTGGGATCCCTGCCTGTGCACCTGTAATTGGTGTTATTGCCCCTCCACATACAGGCGTCACCTGGGGCTCCCTAGCCCATACTGGCTTATTTTCTCTCCTCTCTGGGAGGAAGGGGAGCAAGCAGTTACTGTAACCCGTCTTGTTGGGCAGATGGGGGATTGGAAGCTTAAACCTAAACAGGGTGACACGCGGGCACCCGGCAGGACAGGGCAGCAGATCCTGGTGATCGTTCCCCACTTAGAGTGCAGAGCTAAGGGCCTGCCTTGGGAATATTTTGGTAATGGTTCCTCCCGTGCCCAGAGAACCCATGCTGGTAGACATGATAGTGAAAAACGGAGGAGATGGTGCAAATAATTCTCTAAGCCTCTCAGGCCAGGCCTTAAGCCGTGTCCTCAGGGAAGTCTGTGAACTGCTGAGCAGGGAGGCACAGCTCCTTAGTTTCCCCCACTTAGCGTTTGGCCCGTCTGCTCCAGCTCCGTCCTCTTTGCTTTCTCAGCTCCAGATTTCAGCGTGACTGGGTGATGCTGTAGCCCAGAGTCCACGGCATTGGAGCAGCCTGAGCTGGGTGGCAACTGCGTGACAGAAATGGCAGTCCCGCTTTCCTTCCCAGCACTGACCCTGTCCCCCATCAGAGCTGCCTGGGATGGGGTGAGCCAGGCGGGCACTGACTAATGCTCTCTTTGCAGGTGCATCATCAAGCACCTGGAGGGGCTGGTCGTCCAGTACGACCTGACCGTCCGCGACAGCGATGGCAGCGTGGTGCAGTTCCTGTACGGGGAAGATGGCTTGGACATCCCCAAGACACAGTTCCTGCAGCCCAAGCAGTTCCCCTTCCTGGCCAGCAACTACGAGGTAGAGTGCCAGACCCCCAGAGCCCGAGGGTGGTGGGTCTGGGAGCTGTGCGGTGCACCCCACCTGCGGTTAGAGAACTTGAGCACCCTGCCCGAGTGGCCATTGGAAGGTAGAGTGGGGAAGGCTTAGACAGCCCTAGTCGATGTGTTGGAACACTGGACACTTCAGAGCCCCGGACTTCTATCCTGTTAGATGGCAGACAAGCACTGGCATCTCTGAAATGCCACCTAGGGATGTTTGCTGTGCCAGACCCTGAGCTAAATACTATCTGGTTTCCTCCTCACTGCAGCCCAGGAGGCAGGAATTACTCTGCCCCCTGCTTTTTTTCTTTTTGAGGAATTACTCTGCCCTATTTTTGGGACAGTGCATGCACTCACCAGAGAGACAGAGACAGAAAGCAAGAAGTCACCCCCCAGGGTGGATGTCCACGCCACATTCTCGTCTCCATTCTCGTCTCAGGCTTTGGGCACTTGCACACATGTGCCCTCAAACCGTGGCCGGCAAAGGGGGAGCCCAGCAGTGTAGCCATTACACTATCTGCTAGTCCCTTACTCTGCCCTTTTTACAATGGAGGCAGCAGAGCATCAGAGCTTCAGTAACCAACTGGTGGGTGCCCAGGCCTGTCTGACACACAAGCTCTTGGTTTTGTTTTCGTTGTTGTTTTTTTTAGAGATTTTTGCTATAGGGTATGTGCACTCACCAGAAAGAGAGAGACAGGGAGACAGAAAGCAAGAAATCACCCCCCTCAGGGGGATGGCAACGCCACAGTCCCTTCTCCTCCATTCTGTTCTTGGACTTTTGGGCATGCATGCACATGTGCCTGGCGTGAGTTTAAGCCACTGGGTCCAGGACTCGAGCTGTGGTCGACTATATGGGAGTCCAGTGACAGCCATTACACCAACTGCTGGTCCCACTCCTGGTTTTCATATTGTTCCTTGCTGCCCAGGAATGGCCATCACTGTTAACTGAGCAGTCCCCCATTTTGCAGATCGGGAAACAAACCAGTACAGCCTGTCCAAGGTCTCTAGGCTGATGCATAATTGAGAGTGCTCCAGTGCTGTGTTTTTTATCCTGGTGCTGGGCCAGAGCTTTGACCATCACTGTTACCCTCTTCCTCTCTCCCCAGAAACTCCCCCAGGTTCCTGGAGGGGCTGTGCGTGCCCACTCTCTCCTGTGATCCCCTTAGCTCCTGAGTCTGGATTGCATAGCAAGGTCCCTGATCAGTGGGTGCCTGCCATTCTGACAGCTGTCAGGAGGGCTCTGGGTCCCCTGAGGTTGTGCGGTGTGGCCCTGTGTCCTTCATCTCGTGTATGGCTGTTTTGTTTATTTAGGTTATAGTAAAATCGAAGCATCTCCATGAAGTCTTATCCAGAGCAGATCCCCAAAAAGCTCTGCACCATTTCAGAGCCATCAAAAAATGGCAGAGCAGGCACCCCAGCACCCTGCTGAGAAGAGGCGCCTTCCTGAGTTACTCCCAGAAAGTCCAGGCAGCTGTGAGAGCCTTGAACCTCGAGGGCGAGAACCGGAATGGCCGCAGCCCCGAGACTCAGCAGGTGACGCAGGGAGGCCATGCATGCCCCAGTGCCTGGCACGTCCAGGCCTGTTAGTGGGTGAGGGATGTGGGGCTGTTTTCCATCAGGATACGGATGGCATCGAATGGGAGCATAAGGGGTGGCCCCTTCCCCAGGTAGGGCGATACTAACGGGACGGTGACTCTGGGGTTTCTCACCACCCTGGGCGTGGAGACACAAGGAGTGGAGTTTCCGGAAGTAGAGAGGATGACTGTGGGCAGAGGCCCCTGGATGGGAGCCCGGGGTGGAGGGGCAAGGCCTGTTCAGAGACCTGCTGGGGTTGGGTTGGACCGGATCACTGCCCAGCTGTGGCCTCTTCTGCCTACCCCTCTGCCGGGGCCTCCCAGTAGCAAAACTCAGTGGGCAGCCCTATGCACAGGGCTCTCTGGGGCAGTCTGTGGGACAGCCTAGGGGCACATGCAGGAGCCTGGCTGCAGGGCAGATGGGGACCCAGCACACCCTGGCTGGTAGTGACTGGCCTGCTTGGCCTAGGACAGTCCTGTCTTTGCTGCTTGTCCACACCTAACCATTACAGGGCCCTGTTTCACTCAGTTTGGACAGCGGTCACCCTCCCTGGGCCTGAGCAGGCCAGGATGGCGAGCCCTGGAGCTGTGGTCCAGCAATGCACCAGGCCACTCACGCTCCTCCCAGTTTTAAACATGGAGGTGGTTTTCCCATTGCAATCAGGTGTCCCCTGCTCTCCTTTCAAACAGATGCCTTGGTCCTTCTTCCGTTCCCGGGTATCCCAGGCAGAGAAGCCCACTGTGGTTCCCCCCACACACAGCTGAGCCCACCCTTCCTTCCTTTCAGATGTTGAGGATGTGGTATGAGTTAGATGGGCAGAGCCAAAGGAAATACCAGAAGAAGGCCGCTCCTTGTCCCGACCCCTGTCTGTCCACCTGCCGCCCAGACATCTACTTAGGGTCGGTGTCAGAAACGTTTGAAAGAAAGGTTGATGACTACAGTCAAGAGTGGGCAGCTCAAGCAGAGCAAAGTTACGAGAAATCCGAGCTTTCTCTGGACAGGTAACGACTTGGGTTTGTTGCACAGCAAGTGCCTGGGGAATGTCTGCCTCCGGGGTTGCCACTGCAGCAGGAGGGAGGGCCGTGAGGCAGCAAGCAGGCCAGAGCAGGGGCAGGAGTGGACGCCTGCCCTTCATCTGGGCCAGGATACGGGGGAGTGCAATGAAGTTTATTCAGGGGGTTCTTCCCTGAGCAAGAAAGAGCATCCCCAACAAGGCCTTCATGTCACAGTCCAGCCCAGGTCTCGGCCGGCCTGGATCGTGGGCATGCACATGCCCAGCGTGCTCCAGGGGCTCTCCTCTGGGGGCCCAGTCCCCTTACCACTGCTCCCACTCACTCTCAAGTTCAGTGTGGGGACGTGGCTCAGTGGGAGTCAGGGTATCTGGCCACTCTTCGGTGCTGTCAACTCTGTGAGCCAGGGCGAATCACCTGCTGCCCCGGGACACCATGTCTCAGCTTTTCCTAAGGACTGGGATCCGATTACTCGGGTGATCCTTTGAGCTTTGGGTTTCTAGGCTTAAGGAGGAAGGATCCTGTGGAGGCTTTCACTTAGACTGGTTCATCCACACACACATACACAAGAATACAGGAGAAACATTTCCCATAGGGGTGAGGAGAAGCCAGGCGTGCGCCAGCCCAAGGTGAGGGATTAAAGCATCAGTGCGCCACCCAGGAAGGCCTGCTGGGGCACGGGTCTTGAACCCTTCCCACTCAGCTCACTGAGCCTGCAGTGCTGTGAGATTATGGATCACCCACCCAAGCCTGGCCACGTGTCTTGCCCCCAGTGAAAAGGTGAGGGCTGCTGGGGTTGGGTTGGCGCATCAGTGCGCCACCCAGGAAGGCCTGCTGGGGCACGGGTCTTGGACCCTTCCCACTCAGCTCACTGAGCATGCAGTGCTGTGAGATTATGGATCACCCACCCGAGCCTGGCCACGTGTCTTGCCCCCAGTGAAACCCTGTGAGGCGCAGTGAGGCAGCTAGGAGCCGGGGAGCAGAGACAAATGAGCCGAGACACACACTGGAGGGGAGCAGCGGGAGGGGAGGGACGGCGTTCTCTCTGCTTCATAAATTGGTTTCGCCAGCTCAGCCTCAGAGTGCTGGGCAGAAGACACACTGGGTCGTCTCGGTTGTAGGCAGAGCTTTCCCGAGAACAGCGGAGTCTGGGCCCTTCCCCTCCCTCCACCTTATCTACACCCCTGCAGTGAGTCAACTCTCCTTCAGTCATGCCACATCCCGGGGTGGGGAGCGGTTCCTCTGGCCAGCACGGGTGGTTATGGAGGGCCTGGGCAGAGGCTCGCAGTGCCCTTCAGCACGCAGCAAGCTCAGGATGGAACGCTGAGGTTCTGGAAGTCTTCGAAGGTGCTTCTTGTTAGCGGTACTGGTAGGCACTCAAAATTCATGGGTTTGAAGTAGCAGAAGGACAAGGTAGAGGGGGCTGAAGAAGAGTCTGACTTTGACAAAGAACGTGCACGGAAATGTCTCCTTGTTTTCCTCTTCTGGGGCGCTGGCCTTCACCCCATCGCTCATCCACATTTGCATCTTGGAGCCCCTTCCCTGTGCCACGTGCTACAGTGTTACCGTGTTCCAGGTGGCTGCTCTTGAAGGGCCAGCTTTCAGAGGAAAAATGATTAACAATTACAGAATCTTGCGGTGTGGACACTTCTGGTGTGGCCTGCAGCCATTTACACTAATTAAGGGGGAAAAAAAAACCACACTCTCTCTCTGCCCTCCTTTCCCTGTAATTGCTTAGTGAACTTTTTTCTAATTTGTGCAGTGGGAGGTTTAAGGTCCCTCTAAACTGTTAGAAAAAAGAATGAACAAAGAGAATTGTAAGTAATGAGCCCAGAAGTCCTCTGTGCTTAGGTGGCTTGTAACCAGCCCCGAGTGGACATGTGATGTTTTGAGGCTAGTGTCGAAATGGTTTGAGTGTGACCATCTGAAGTAACAGCCACCCAGCTGGGACCTGTGCTGTGTCATTGCAGGTCATTGCAGGGTCATTAGCAGGA